ATTATTATTATTATTATTATTATTATTATTATTATTATTATTATTATTATATTGATGAATGTAACGAATGGGTGCCAGTGTTTGTGTTTCTAAATTATTCTAATTGCGCAAATTTGCTATCCCAGTTAAATAAATAGGCAAAGAGAACTTTTAAGTGACTAACTGACTTTACTACATTAAAATAATGCTTTTTGTCAAATCGATTGCTCGATCTTCCAGAAAAGCTTTTACATTATTACAAGAGCAATATTTCATTATTTTAAAGTTGTAAGTTGTAAACTCTTGCATGTCGTAGGTCGATTCAAGGCAATTCAACAATTGATGGTCATAAAATTTGTGAGTAGATACTACCTGAACTAAGTTCCAATACTGAAGTGTAGCTGCAGTCGGCATTGCCACCAATGAACATGCTGGCCCAAGTAACATCACTTTCACGGGATCGGTAGTGATCAGTTCGATTACTCCTTTCAGTCCCGTACCAAGATGACACTAATTATCAATAAAACCAATTCACACGCTATTTATTAGCTACAATTTTATAATGATATAATAACTGACATTTCGTTTAAAATTCTACACACCATACTTCATGTCCAGTAAATAATATATAAGCCTAAGACTTTTCATCAGCTTATTTTTGTTTCATTAAACCATTTGCAGGATAAGCCGTAATCACATGTATATTTCATATTAAAAATTTACAAAAAGAAGAAACCCACGAATTTCCTTATGGACACTAACAATTTTGCTATATGCCGTGGATGTTTTATTTAATCACATAGAAATGTTAATCACAATGAAATTTTATTGTATTATTTTTTATGATGTTGTAAATTGAATTTTTTTTATGAGAAGCTGAATAACACAAAAAAAAAATCCAGTGGAACACTTCGTGATTTGGAGCCAAATAAAAGGTAAGTGTAAGCCATAAGAGAATCATTGTATATATAGACTATAGAAATTTTTGAGCAAAGGAATCTAAAATTTGAAAACAAAAAAAACTCCTTAATCATGCTAGGTTGCTTATCTTTGAGTAGAACCTGAAGACAGAGCAAAATATAATTAATAACAACACTTTCAAGGTATGGAATAGGAAGCAATCACTTTATACTTTTCGGATTCAATCCATCCACTGCAAGTAAAACGAATTGGGTATTGTTCTCAATAACACTTATGTTATGTTATTGTTGCATTAAATAATCGAATAAAACACAAAAGTAACCTACCTGTGTATCTCTCCAATCTAGTAGCAGGCGATGATTAGGTAGAATTTGTGAGTTGGCGTTGATGTGTTCCAAAGCCAATTCCACGGCCACCTTTACAGCAGAACCATCCCAACCGCCGCCAAGTGAGTATAACGCTCCCACTGTAATATTGATTCGATTGTCAATATCCGACTTCACGAATGTCGGTAAAATTATTGTGAAAATAAAAACTAAATACATCACAGATTTTCTAAAATTCATCATATCTATTATACACATCGAATTCGTTGTTTGCGTTATGACATCAAAGCTCATAGAAGCCTCATTCACAGACGTTCAAATACTGTTTTCTTCAAAGTTCTTCCCGTCAATGACGACACACTCCCGGGTTTCTCGCTACTTCAGAACGCGTAACTTGTACTTACTATACAATCTTAATGTGACCAATACAAATTCCCTTTCTGTAATTCAAAAATTACCTCGACGTTCCATTTCTGAAAATGACCTGATCAATGCATAGCAAGTACAGTAACAACAGGCATCTATATCGACCATGAGTCAACCACTACCAGTTAAACCTAATTATTTTCCTAGTCAAACAAAACATTGCCTCGTTATTTGATGTTGCTCGTATTGTTGGTTGTAGGCTTGTGAGATGTACACAGGCCTTTGAATCTCTCTGTTACCTCGCGCATCAAAATAATTTTAAATTTGTTGATGAATACGTCATTCATCAATTAGGATAATGTTCTAATTTTCAATGCGTTCACAAAATGGAAGCAGATTTAACGTGGTGTGTTATTTCTGAAAGTGGTTTTTTCCTTAATTGAGGAAAAAACTAAAAGTTGATGTGTTGAGGTTTGTGATTGATCAATTCTTCACTTCCTGGAATTCAAGCAGAACGACCAGCATGGTGCACTAATAAACCAAAAAATTCATAATAATAATAATAATAATAATAATAATAATAATAATAATAATAATAATAATAAAATAACATCAACATAACAAAAAAGATATTCCCATTAAGTCCGAGTTAGCGCTAGTTATAATAATAATAATAATAATAATAATAATAATAATAATAATAATAATAATAGTAATAGTAATAATAATAATAATAATAATAATTATTATTATTATTATTATTATTATTATTATTATTATTATTATTATTATTATAGCAGCATATCATTATCATATTTATTAAAATTTTACATTGAGATGGAATTCCAATACGTTAGATAAAGTAAGTAGATATAAGTATTGTTTATGGTGGAGTGTTATTGTGTTGTGGCTTATTATATTTTATATAGGACCCTATACCCGGACATATAACACACGTTAATGGTTCTGTAATCATGGCGGAACGTACGTTTTAATCAAATTTATTGATCTGGGAATCGTCTTACGCTGTAATATAATCATTGAGCCTAGCTTGGTGGAATTCATATAATAGTGCCTACACAACATTACTGAAATTTCCATTATTTTGAAATTCAAGTTGATCAATATTATGAACATTAAAAATGAAATAGGCCTATTAAAATGCACAAGGAAATGGTTTAAACAAAACCAACCTACAAAAAGACAGTATATATACTGTCTCTTATACACATCTAGATGTGTATAAGAGACAGCTTTTCGGATTCAATCCATCCACTGCAAGTAAAACGAATTGGGTATTGTTCTCAATAACACTTATGTTATGTTATTGTTGCATTAAATAATCGAATAAAACACAAAAGTAACCTACCTGTGTATCTCTCCAATCTAGTAGCAGGCGATGATTAGGTAGAATTTGTGAGTTGGCGTTGATGTGTTCCAAAGCCAATTCCACGGCCACCTTTACAGCAGAACCATCCCAACCGCCGCCAAGTGAGTATAACGCTCCCACTGTAATATTGATTCGATTGTCAATATCAGACTTTACGAATGTCGGTAAAATTATTGTGAAAATAAAAACTAAATACATCACAGATTTTCTAAAATTCATCATCTCTATTATACACATCGAATTCGTTGTTTGCGTTATGACACCAAAGCTCATGGAAGCCTCATTCACAGACGTTCAAATACTGTTTTCTTCAAAGTTCTTCCCGTCAATGACGACACACTCCCGGGTTTCTCGCTACTTCAGAACGCGTAACTTGTACTTACTATACAATCTTAATGTGACCAATACAAATTCCCTTTCTGTAATTCAAAAATTACCTCGACGTTCCATTTCTGAAAATGACCTGATCAATGCATAGCAAGTACAGTAACAACAGGCATCTATATCGACCATGAGTCAACCACTACCAGTTAAACCTAATTATTTTCCTAGTCAAACAAAACATTGCCTCGTTATTTGATATTGCTCGTATTGTTGGTTGTAGGCTTGTGAGATGTACACAGGCCTTTGAATCTCTCTGTTACCTCGCGCATCAAAATAATTTTAAATTTGTTGATGAATACGTCATTCATCAATTAGGATAATGTTCTAATTTTCAATGCGTTCACAAAATGGAAGCAGATTTAACGTGGTGTGTTATTTCTGAAAGTGGTT